TGTGTGTGTGTGCCTGTGTGTGAGTGACAGTGTCCCTGGAGTATTTGTTTGTGTAGGAGGCAGTTTTCTCACAGTTTGGGGCAGGAAGACATTAATTACCATCGGCAGAGAGCGAAACCACTTTCTCAGTAAATCCACATGAGGAGGAGGAACTGGATGAGTCTTATCGGCAAGACACACACACACACACACACACACACACACACACACACACACACACACACACGTGAAAATATACACCACACACTTCTATGCTTCCTTCCTGTGACTCGGTACAGGCAGGGGTAGTTCCTCTCCTTTACAGCAGAGGGGTCTATATCAGCTTCCTCCCACTACCTCAGCCTGCCGCATACCTGTACTCTTATATAGCATGTACTGATTTTGTATATCCACACTGCATATGTGTTAATGAGCTAGAATCACTAATGTCATTAAAAAATTTCACGGTAAAGAGCAGAATTCAAACCTCACAGTGCATCTTCCCTTCAGCTTTTCACAGGCAGTGAACCGTCTCCAGGCGTTTCCTGATGAAGATTAGAGTCTTGTTCCTCTGGTTTCTACCTGTGGGAAAGAGACGTTCAGGTGCACAGATAATAAAACCATTGATATCCAACCTGGTTTAGGTGGAACAAAGAAACACAGGCAGTGTGTGGGAAACATGGAGATCCAGTGCACAACATAAAATAGTCTTCATCACAAACACAGTAACACAAGTGGATAAGACAAGAGTTCAAAGGTCACATGAGAATAAGAGTTTCCCTCACAAGACACCATTGGTTTAGTCAAGTACAGGTCAAGAGACATTTATAAAATGTGGATCATTCTGCAGTACAGTTTGTGAAAAAGTGACAGTTTTAGGTTACATGTATAGAAGCAGGTTACAACACATTCGAATATAAACCTGGAACTTTTTAACCACTGATCAACACTTACAGGGCAGGTCTAAAGAAACAATCCACAATTGAGCAATATTCTTTTAAATATTTAGTTAAAGATTATAATTTGAACATCAAATATTAAACCATGTGCTGTATGAAATAGTAAAGGTACAACTTTTACTATCAGGGCCCCAACCTACCCTGAGGGCCCGAACTGGGGATTTAAATGTATTGTTAAAGGCACTTCTGTCCCATAGAATAAACACTGCATAAAGACAAACAATACATGCAAATAAAAGAAACAATAAACCTCCTCACTCCTCACCTTAATAATGTCAAGGGGGCGTCAGAGATGTTCTTTTGACCTGCAGTTGCTGCATCCAACCTGCCTGAAGGAACTCTGATCCTGCAAGTGATGAACCTCTCTCTCTTCACAGGTGTGTCCAGGGCCTGGTGCGGCGTGGAGCTTCCTGCCCGGACCTCCAGCCTCAGCAGTGGGGACAGGGCAGAAGGTCATTACACCACTCTTTCATTGGGAGATGATGATGGTGTTTTAAAGCTGCTTTTAAGGGATTTTGGGCCGCTGTGACAGCTCTGTTGCCTCTGGTGCTCCTGCTTTACTACCTCCGCCTGGAAGACATGTCCAGACACAATTCTCTACTCACCATGAGGCAAACATTTGGACCCTTGACCCTGAACTTATGACCTCTGACGAAGTTCACCTTCCAGCTCTGGGTTTTGTCTTTCTGCACGTGGATTGTGCGCAGACACACAGACACAGACACAGACACAGACACACACACACACACACACACACACACACACACACACACACACACACACACAATGTAAAACACACTTGCATCGTTCGACAGCTGTGAGCTATTGGAATTAGCTCCCATACACTTCCTCTTTCTTCTGTAGGTCCAACGGTAAAACACATACACTGGGTTGTAGGTGTGGAATAAGCTCCTCATAAAATTATTACCTGTTTTTCATACAATGGACAAACATTTCTGCGGATTCACACTTGACAGAAAAACAGAAGCCTTACCAGCTGAATGTTGGTTTTTTTTGGCATGGTGACAAGATAACACCAGGAGAGAGCGACTGCTGACAGAAGCAGCTGAGACGAAAAGATTAAGAGTATCGAGGTTACTGTGATGTCAGGGTTATTTATATCAAATCACCTGCCACAGCAGAATCACACTGAAGTGGCAGGTGGCCACGTGGAGATCCACATATTAATGAGGTGTAACATATTTAACACCCACCAGGGATCACGAACTGACAGAGAGACAAATATATGCTGTGGTGTTTTAAATAGAAAGATGGTGTCATCTTATCTTTTTATTATTAACAACAAATCTCTTAATGCTGAAACAAGCAGCCTGTGGTCTGTGGAGCCACAACAACCTGCGCTGTTGTTCAAATCTACATTAGACTCATTGTGTCACCTGATGCAGAGGGGTTTCCACAGAGAGCTTTTTAGATTAAGGTAGAATCACTGACCCTTAAACCACACTGTTGCTGTGCGTGCGTGCGTGCGTGCGTGCGTGCGTGCGTGCGTGCGTGCGTGCGTGCAAGTAGCACACTAAAGGAGAAATAAACACACATGAGGAGAAGCTCCTCCTTTTGTATTCTTCAAATGCTGCTGCAGTGTTCAGAGTCAGTGTTAATGTTGGACATGGACATTTAAAATAGCACTCTTTAATCCACACACTTGTCAGGGTCTGGGAGGATGTGTTAGATACAGTGTTGGCTGTGAAAGTTATAAATGACAGGATGTCTGAGCAGATACAAGATTTCCTGAGGGGAAGATGTGTTGGTGAAATCAAGTCTGTGGTCACAGACGCCACGAGGAAGAAGAGTTACAGTTAGACGTCTGATCTTGTTCGTGATTAAGAAAAATTGTGTTTGAGGAAAAACTAAGTGGGTCGGGGCAGACAGAGACATCACTCACTCAAATCATAAAACTGAGATGTGCAGCTTTGGGCTGTTGGCAGCAAACTGCGTGTGGTGGTTACATGTAATTATAACTGAGATTATTAACATCAATGGGCTACAACGTTTCTGCAGATTTGGTCTTACAATGGTAAACTCATGTATGACGTGTTTTCTGGTTCCTTTATAGAAAACACATTAGCAAAATGAAGATGGTGAGCATGCTAAATATTATACCTGCGAAACATCAGCATACTAGCATTGCCATTGCGAGCATGGAGATGTTAGCACAACTCAAAGCCAAAGGCTAATATGCTTTTATGGGAAACTGAGAACAGCCATACTACAACATACGTTTTCTCAAGATAACAAAACTCGTTACCCCAAGATAACAAAACAATCCACAATTTAAATAAAACATAGGAAAAGTGTAAAATATGGGACCTTTAAAATCTGAGAAAAGCAGGTGTAAAATTTGCATCAGTGATTTACTTAACAGACATTAAAAGGTCCCATATTTTACACTTTAACTGAGTTTTATTTGAAGTTTGCTCTTTCTATTTTGGCGCTTTTTTGTAGAGCCAAATGTCACCTTCACAGACTACACTTACATGTATTAGTTTGGCAAATACTTTTGTACAAACTGACACACAAATGAGATCACACAATCAAAGCCGCAGTAGATCAACGTGGAGATTTCAAGAATAAAACCAGATATCTTGTGATGTAGTCGGCAGACTGCCATGAACTTTGCTGAGCACATTCCTGACAGTCAGTCAGACAGAACACTTTTGGAAACAATAGATTTCATAGAGGTGTAGAGAATATCCAAGGGCCAACAGCTCTCAGCAAAGTGCAACCACAGATCTTCAGAGGAGAAATGAGGAATGACGAGGACTAGTAGACACATGCACAACTGGGTCTCTCGCTCTTCTGAAATCTGCCTCGGGGTTTATATGTATCAGTGTGTGGCATTTATCGCTATCAAGGCTTTCATCACCGCTCATTTTGTCTACCTTTCCTCCATTATAACTGCTAATTGCTATTCCTTATCATCAAGCTGCCCCGACACGTCTCTGAAGCCTCTCCAGCTGATCCAGAACGCTGAGGCACGTGTACCGACAAGACGGAAGATCAAATTTCTCCCACATCAGCTCCTCTGCACTGTGGCTTCCTGAGCTCATGGTGACCTGTTACACCATCTCTACTCCATCTGTGCACATTCATATCCCATTAATACATGTCACTAACCTGGCCTCCTCTCTCTCCTGTACTGTTGTGTTTTCTAGCCACCTGCTGCTTACTGTACATCTCTATGTGAAACTCACCTTGTGCTGTGTTCTCCCCCCCCCATCCCGTCAGCCAAGGAAGATGGCCGCCCACTCTGAGCCCCTGAACCTGTTTTTTTGCTCAAGGTTTCTTCTTCTTAAAGGAAGTTGTTCTTTGCCACTGTCGCCAGCTTCTTGCTCATGGTGGCAATTGTTGGGTCTGAATACAGTCTAGACCTGCTCTATATGAAAAGTGCCCTGAGATAACTTTGTATGTTCACCATGTTCTAACTTACGTGATTAGGAAATAAACATACGTAAGAAATATTCTTCTTATTAGAATCAATTCAACACGTTATTATTCAAGCCAAGAAACAACAGGTTCTTAGGAGCAGGTCTGCCTGAGGTCGGATTCACTTTCCCTCGTCATTTTACAGTTTTCGTCTGAATTTCTCCACAGGCAGACGAGGAGAAAGTAGGTGATGAAATGCCAGGACTCGTTCACATCTCGGTTGGCAAAAGACACTTCCTATGCTTACGCCAGAGGAAGAAATTCAATGACTGGAGTGTTGCTTTATTCCCACATAAATCAAAAGGTAAAAAAAAAAGAGTGTTTCTTATATCTCTTCTTCATGTTTATTGATAGATTGGAGTATAAATGTCTGGCAGAAAATAACAGGACTTGTTTTTGTGTTTAGCTTCAGTCAGTGAGGGCTGGCTGGCTGGCAGACACACACACACACACACACACACAATGACACAATACATACCACACATTGCCCTGCAGCCTGACTCTAACATGAACACACACTCTCTTACAGTCAGTCAGTCTCTCTCTCAAAGACACACACACAAACACACACACACACACACACACACACACACACACACACACACACACACACACACACACACACACACACACACACACACACACACACAAACTCAGCGGCCCATAATTTCCGCCCTTCAGAGGTACCATTATAAAACTGTCTTATGTGAACATTATGTCAAATGTTACCTTGAACACACACACACACACACACACACACACACACACACACACACACACTCAGCTGAAACACTCCATGCTGGCCTTGGCTCTCTCCATTTCGTGCAGGAAGTTGTAAAACTGAGGGAGCGTCAACTCTAGAAGAGACAGGGGGGGAAACAGGAAACGGAGTGGATAAAACAGACTGAGATGAACTGGGTACATCTATACGGCACTACAGAAGATAAATAAAAATGAATGACATTTTTTTTCACACTCACTCAGCATAAACAACCAGGTGTATCTTATTTCATAACAGCTTTTTTCATTTGTGTTTGGCAGCTCTTTATTTATTTTTATTTTATTTCAATTTCTCTGGAAGTGAAGAGTTTCAAATTTCTGCTTCGATTTGCGTAAACGCAAGAATTTCACACGAGCAGCCATCACTACTGAGGATGAACAGATGAAGAAAAGAGTGCCAACAATGAAGCTCTCCAACAACGGTTCGGTGCTTTTGACAAACAGATACTTCTTTATTTGGTTGTTTGCTGTGACGACTGTAACTGATGTCGTGTCTTGCATGCTGTGTTTGTGTGTCCTCTGCTGTAGTGAAATTCCCCCTTAAGGGACAATAAAGATCTCTGAACCCTCTGAACTCTGAACTGCTGGTTCTCTAAAAGTGATTTTTCTTTTTTTTTTTTTAAACACTATTTCCAAAACCTCTTTTTGCAGCGCTCCTCATGTTGGAGTGGACATTTGTACCAAATTTGAGATATATCGCATTCAGGAGAACGTGACGGATGAAAACATGATGTCTGTCGCTGGTGTGGAGTCGTAATAAGACAAAAGTTGTTACAAATGTTAGCTGAAATATTACACTGTGCATTTTCCATCCAAGGCCATAAGTCTGCACTTCTATCAGCTGTCACCAAATCAAACAATGCAACTGTAAAAGCTTATCAGAGCATCAATCTTAGAGCCTAATTATATTATTGATAAAAAAGCCATAAACATTCAGTGACAGTGTGAGTTTTCACACCTTAGAGCAGCCATTTCTTCCTGACCAGCATCTGTGCAAATCTATCCACCAACTTAAAGAAATAATCCAAATCGCTAATGATGCACGTTGATAAAACCAGGCGGTTTCTTTCTTCAGATAATAAGCAAAAACCTCACCTCAGATATCTCATAGTAACGTAGTTTGGGAAACCCCAGCCTATTCGCCTGTGATGTAACTTTGCTGCTGGCGCTACAGAAACTGTATCTGAAAAACTTTTCCAAAACGGGAAACAGGAGTGGCAGCATCAGAGGGTAAAAGAAAATTATAGTCTCCATCTTAAGATGTGTTTTCTCTCCAATGCTTCTCTGAGCTGAGCATTCCTGCTGATTACACATATCTCTGTACAAGCAACGCAGCAGTCGACGGAGTTACGGTGAAAAAGAACGTCATTGATTTCAGTGTTTCTGGGAAGAACCTGCAGACCTGAATTACCCACAACGCAGAGTGGCCGACCCACGGCCCCTTGCTTCATGTCATCCCCCCTCTCTCTCTCCCTGACTTTCCTGTCCACCTCTCACTGTGCTATCAAAAATAAAAGGCAAAAATGCCCAAAAATATAACTATAAAAAAAAAATAAACACAGAGTAATAGTACAGAGTAGACGCACTTACAGTTCATGCATACACCGTATTTCTATGTTTTATTAATTGTACTGCTGCACACACATGGATCTGACAGCCTGTCTTCATTTTATTGAGCCTCTTGCCAAATACAATAAATGACATGAACATGATTAAAATGTCAGTGCCGTTTTTATCAGTAACGGCACAAACTCACTCACCCATGTAGACGTTCTCAGTGGAATTCCCCCGTCTGACCACCAGCTTCAGCTGCAACAGGACAAAAGAAGTGTAACTGCATGTGTGTGCATGCGTGTGTGCGTGCTTGCTTGTGTGCATGTGCGTGTGTGGCCGGTCAAATGCAGGCTTTACAGAGCTTTCATACCTGCAGAAAGATGTTGCCGACTTTCTGTATCTCACTGGTGCCGACAGTCACTGTGTGGGGCCAGAAAACACATCATGATGCTTCAGTTCATTCAAACTGAAACAAAAATGGAATCACAAACAAGAACACACTCCTGTTTTTAAGTTGTCTCCCAAAAGGCCAGACACACACACACACACACACGACTCTAGCTGGGTGTTAATGTTGTGTGTCTGTTGGATGTGTGTACTCACTACAAACGAGCCATAACGACATAAAAACTATAACACGCTTGTGCTTTGAGCCTGTCGGTTGTGTTATTTAGTTCCTCTACCGTTGCCCCTAAAAATGAACCAGAGCTGCTGTAAAACTCACCATGAAGATTTTATTCTTTTCTTTTAACTAAGCAATTTTACCTCTATACTCTTTTCTTTGACTTATCTTTTTACCCCGAACCTTTCAGTTTTATACATTTCCTCTTTCTCCATGACGCAGCCCATATTTCATTCCAAATTGTCCTAATTTTTTAATATCTAATTCCAATTTAACATGCATCTCAATTGTCTGAAAATAGACTTTAATTTTAAATTTTTTTGTTTTATTTCATTATTTATTATTGGCTGTCTTTGGCTCTAATTTATTCTTATTCTTCTATTCTCTATAAATTATTTGGGGTTTTGGTTGTAACACTGATGGAAATGGAATATTACATTCTCCTTCTTGCAGAGGTTTCATTACACTTTATATTTATGGTGATGTTGAACTCTGAATGTTCAAGGTAAGTGAAATAAACCTGCTTGACCATAATAACTATTTCTCAAACATGTATAACGTGTCTACAGCTTCACAACTGTCATCCAAAAAAAAAAATCACATGGTCAGTTTATCAGTTTTAAGGTGTTTTGTCAAATATGTCCAAGGACCTGGATATTTTATGTACATTCAGCCCTGTATGTAAAGTATGATGGTCCATATGAACACCAGCTTGTGAGACAGGCCGTGGCCATATTGTCCCTCCATACTGTCAGGTCTCCACGGACGCCCGGCTGGATGCAGCTGACTCACTGGCAGCATGCAGAGACACAGTCGCTTCGTCTGACTGGAGGTTTTTTTTTTTTTTTTTTACATATCAACAAACAGCACGGTGCAGCACACACAGACACTCCCTGTCCACTCCCCTCATAAGCTGGAGCACATTATGAAGATCAGCTCAACAATAGTTGAACATGATGCTAACGACTCTCCTGCCCGGCCGTATTAGCATCTCTATCACCTTAGGTTCTATGAATAAACAATGAGGCCCGATAGAGAGCCATCATCTGTTTAAATGAGACTGAATCTTACACAAACCATTAGAGGACATAGGATATGCTAATGACTACGTTAGACTAGAGGCTCGTGGTCATGAATATGCACTGAGAGAGCTGCAGCCCTCACAGTGTGCACAGAAATAAACTCACAGTGAACCTATAATTTCAAAAGCTAAATCTGATGTGGTTTTACCTCCAAACTTCCACTCCATGTCAACCAGCTGGTTGACCATCAGAGTCTGTCTCACAGCAAGTCTGGACAGCGCTGCGTAGTGCTCCCCCCACTGCAAAATATGATGAAATATGAAAAGTCAGAACAACTCATGTGGTCATAAAATTATTCCCGGTTTGATAAGAAAGTATTTAATGTGACTTTAAAAACACAGAAAGAAACTGGGTCATGCACTTGGTCATCATCAGATTGCAAATGATGAACGTCAAGGGGATTTTTTTTTTTTTTTTTTTTAAACCAAAAGTATCTATTTTGATTGTTTTATTTTTACTGCATCTAAAAGCCTAAAATAAAAAAAATTCATACTAGCAGGAATTTATGAAAAGGTACCTGCTGTGAAAAGTGAGCCGCCTTGTCCTCGTTCAGTCCTGAGGAAACAACATGAAGCAGGAATAAAATGTAAATTGACACAGTGTCATAAGAGAACATTATCCAGCAGCTATATTTAACCCCCGTTTTAAAATCGACACCACTGATGATGGTATCGCCGGTGAAGTATTCAAGGTGCGTACCTAACGTCACAAGGTCTTCTTTGATCTGCTCGGCTGTCAGGTTTTTCTTCAGGGCTCCTGAGGGGGAAACAGGGAAATCACTGTCACTGAAACGGAAACGTTCCTGTAGCTGCAGCTTTTTTCTGTCAATTCAAAGCTGAACTTTCACAGGTGTCAAGCTTTGAGTGTCGTGGGAAATTTCTGAATTAGCGTGCATGTATGTTCAGATCTGTGCAGCCTCACAGAGAGGGTGATGTACTAAAGTCAGGTTGTGTAATTACAGTTTTAACTACTGAAGCAAAAAAGTGTCTGTTTAGTCTTTCTCTTATTCCCATTGATAACTGGCCTGTTGTAGAATATATCGTATTATGTCTAGACGTCGACTGGTTACACTGGAGTCTGTTCATCAGGTGGATGAATGTGTGTGTGTGTGAATGTGTGTGTGTGTCTTTCCCACCCTGCGGCACCAGGAGGATGCTCTTCATCAGGTTCCTCAGAGGACCAGCACTCATTCCATGTTCCCCTGCAAACCCAGTGAGCTGCTGCATGAACCTCTCCGTCTACATGCGCATGCGCGCACACGCACACACACATGCAAATCCATGCATTCATTTGCACACACACACAAAAGAACAGGCAATGTTTCGCCTCGGTTCAGTTCCCAAGGCTAATCACTGAATCCAAAGTCCCATTATCATCAAAATTGTGTGTGTGTGTGTGTGTGTGTGTGTGTGTGTGTGTGTGTGTGTGTGTGTGCGCGTGCTCACCTCTTTAGGCTCCAGGAGTAACTGGAACAGAATTTCAATCAATCGGGGAAACTGCTGCAGAAAATAAAAAAGTTCAGTTTTGGTTGATGTTAAAAATGTTCAGCTGCGTTTGGTTTGTTGAAGAAAAAAACTTTTCATGTATATGTAAACTTTGTATCTGTACATAGATTTTTAAATGATATACATGTGAGCCAGTGAAGCTGTTTGTGTGACTAAGAGTTTCTAGTCTTTGAGCAAGTGAAACCTCTCCTCAGATCAATTAAGTTGAATATTATAAGGTTTGTTTGGGATGAGACAAGTTCTGAAAACAAAAAACTGTGTGTGTCTCTGTGCAGTTCATCTGTGTCTCTTAGAAGTAGACATGCCCTGTGAGACACTGGGCCCCTCTACTTGAAGTCATTTTGATGCTCTTACTTTTGTACTTTAACTTCAGTAATATTTTGAATACATGAGTCTCACTTGAGTATTTCTACACTGTGTTACTCTTAATGGTAGCCTAACTCCACTGGTGCACTGGTCTGCTGCCGTCACATGACTCGCATGAGCTGTCACTATCACCTGGTGTGTTTACGCCTCTGAATAACGAGCCGATTCTGACCATTACTCTTTCAAGCCAGACAGATTTCCACACGTGTTTGAAGGAGGTTTAAACCTCAGCCAGCAGCTGAGCTCAGAGTAATAATAAAATAATCTAATGATCCGAGTTTGGCGGTAAAAGCGGCTGAATTTACCTGCTCGTTCAGTTTGTTCAGGTTCTGGAAGTCGGTGCTGACCGAGTCCGGCAAAACGTCTTTGGTGAAGTGAAGCTGCATGTTTGGTTTTTTAGTTTTTTAATCTGCAGAGTTTCGCTGAAAAACCGTCAGATGCTGCTCTGCTCTATTCTCGACTCCTGTTCCGGGTTTGTCAAATGCGCATGCGCACTGAGTGGCAGCCCCTGTCTTCCTCCTGGAAGGAGCATGAGAGCAATTGGATCAGAAATTGAAATATTTAATCATGAAAAAAGTAGTTTAAAAGGCAAAAGGCAATTAAAAGTTAACCTACAATAATATTGAGGTGGAAAGTACGGAAGTCACATTCATGTTCTGCACAACATTGAGGGTTGAAGGAGTCATTTTTGTCCTATATAACAGTGACTGAAACTATCAATTTCTATGCAACTACATTAATTTAAAAGCTGCAGTTTCTTTTTTAGTGTAAGACGTCAGTAAATGTACAAAAACATATGATCAGATTATAGAATACGCTGCCTTGGTCCAGTTTAAACTTACCTACAATTTATAAAGTCATAAAAACTGTAGCTCCAGCTCAATCAACTGCAACATTTAAATGCTGTTTTTACAGTTACTGAGTAGGAATTATAATCAAATTAAAAAATATATGATGTGAATAGATTAAATTTGACACTTAAAGTTTATTTTGACTTCTATAGGAGCATTTTTACACTGCATTGTATAAATAGGAGTATTCACCACTGGTTTAATATGTAACAATATATCATTATTAATTATTTCATTATGACTACTGCAGTCAAAGAAATGTAGTGGAGGAAAAGTACATTAACTGAGATCTGGTGAACCACTGATTGTGTCCCACTTTTTATGCTCTTTTCTTTCACAATATTTGTCCTCATGAGGAAAGTGACGCCTGGAAAGTGAAAAACTACAGACTGATGTGAACAAGGAGTTTACGTTTAGTTTCTCTTCTGTATCACTGCGTCCCCTCGGGTAAAATGGAAGTTTCTCTCTCACTCTGATTTCTAATGAAATAAGGTGAAAAGGGGTTGACTAAAGACTAGAGAGGGAAGGAGAGGTGAGTGTCGTTGAGGGGCGGGATAAAAAAAAGTAGTCCCTGCTCTCGTTTTTAACCTCAGGGACAAAAAGTGGGAGGTGACATCTTCACCTGGGGAAGCCTCAGAGCAACGAACCCCCCCCCCTCACCCAACCCTGCAGGTCAACTCTATGTATGGGCTGAGCCTCTAAGTGGCGGAGTTCACTCAGTCTGCAGGGGGACACACGCAGAGAGAGAGAGAGAGAGAGAGAGAGAGAGAGAGAGAGAGAGAGAGAGAGAGATCTGCAGCAGCAGCATACTCCGACAGAGTGAAGGACTCCTGCGAGAGGAAAAGACGAACCTGATCCTGATCTGAGCTCAAGTCCACGGCTGATTTTAAAACTCTTTTAAACACATTTTTCACCAGTTTAACTCCGCGGCGAACAACACGTCCTCCTTCACAGTCTCCTGCCGTGGATGAGAGCGACAAGCCTGGGTTGTTATGTAAGTTTCTCACCGCGGAGGGCGGTTTTTTCTTCTTTTTTGCAGGATTTATTGCAGATAATTACCGAGCGAACAATTAAAGTCTCAAATATTAACACTTTTTATCACACCTGATTGGGTTGTGACTCCGTGTGTGGAGCCGGGCTCTGTTGTGTGCGGTTGTGTTTTCCTTTATTCCACGGTGCACTTTGTAAAGTGTGCAGGTCGGTAGTCGTGGTGCCCATGTGCACGGTGAACCGAGCTGCATACAGATGTTGCCGAACCCGGTGAGGCGACGTTAATCCGCTACAAGTGGTTCCACAGTGATTTCTAAACTGGTCGCGTCTTTGTTTGAAGTTAATGGTGATTTTAAAGTGTCCTTTATTATTTTCCCCACAGTATTCATATAATAATGTGAGAAGTGAACGCATCTGTGCTGCGGTTTCTCCCACTTTTCACTAGTATTTCAATAACAGAGCGTCTCTACATTACATACATACTTATTGTAAAGCTTAAGATGCTTTTTAAAACTTTGTAGGAAGCCTAATACTTTTATCTCCTGTTATTTAGTTTTTCTCTGTGAGGACTGGTGCTGAGAGCGGGTTAAAGGTTGTCTATCGATCTTTTATCTAAATTTTGAACTTGAAAGTGACTGAAAAGTGAATTAGCAGTGGTTTTAACACGGGGCTGTCCCTCCTGTAGGGTTAACTGTGATAGATCTGCTTTCACTGAATGAGGTGTTGGGATTGCACGACAGGATTTATTCACTTTTTTTCTTTTTTTTTCTTTTTTTTTTGCTGTGGTGGTTTCCTGGTTGTGAACGCGCTCCGGTGTTTGAGGCTTTACCGGCTCAACTTCCGCCTGGGATTATTATTAGCGTGTTGTTGGGCTGTCGTTGTGGGGCAGGTAGGAACAAACAAACAATGTCTGCAGATAAAAAACACTGCTCTCGTGTGTGTGTGTGTGTGTGTGGGTGTGCGCGCGCGTGTGTGTGGAGCATGTACAGTCTCTGGTGTGGAGTCATTAGACTGTGCAGGGAGCAGCCACGCGGTGGGAGATGAAGGGGAGGAGTCAGATTAAAAACTGCAGGAGCGTTCACTCAGAGGAATGTTGACATAATGCAGGTGACTGAGTGATTGTAGCCGCCAGCAGGAACAGGTAGACCTCCCAACAACTACCGTCATATTTAACATAGATTTCAAGATGTCACAGACGCTTTTCCTTTCATGGCATAATTTGACAACATTACAACAGGACCCCAGGGATCGTCAATAAAATATGTTTTCACTCCAGAAAACAGGAGTTGTAGGAGGTCTGTTGGCCTAACATTCAGCCTCAACACATTTTATTTGGTCATATTCAAGGAATAGCGTACATGTTCTTATATGAACTATTGGGCTGCAATTAATGTTTATTTTCAATGTCATGATGAAATTTATTTTGCCTATAAATTATAAGAAAAATAGCTATGGCATAACCCAAAGATATTCAGTTTACAGTGAGAACAGCAGTGAATCGCCCCCATTTTAGCAGCTGGAGTTGGTGAATTGTCAGCACTTTTGCTTGATATGTGACACTGATGATTCATCAGTTTAAAATATGTTGTTGCAAATGAATTTTTCTGTAGATGGAGGTGGTAACATTTACACAATAACCTGGCAGATACTTTCTCTGCAGTGTGTTTTTGTACATTTGAAACTTTAGCTTTCAAAAAACAGGCAACATTTTCTCTCCGATAGTGGCGTAATCCAGTTCCTGACTCAGGGATGTTCATGATGAGTCTGTGTTCTCCTGCTTTTAGTTTAGTCCTGATCACATCTGTCACTCTCTGACAGAGACGGAGTTAAACTGGATTTCACTGGAACAGCTTGTTGTGAGATAAATGAGTCACACTATTGTTTTTAATGAGATGATGACAGTTATTGAAGTGTCTCCAACATTCCTCTCAGATAGTGCCCACACACACACACACACACACACACACACACACACACACACACACTGGGATCAACCTCACCATCATTCATGAAAACTCAGTGCTGCTGTAGTGATACTGAATAGTGGCACTGTTGGGGATGCATCTCATTAATGGAGCTAATCAGCTGTCCGCAGGCTGATATTTTCCAACAGTGAATAAATAGTGAGTGAATAAACTTGTGTTTAAATTGAACTTTTATTTAGTTATCAGCAATATATGGAGCCACATGATAAAGCATTAGCAGCATTAGTTTTAGTTTACAGAGTTAATCTGTGCATCATTTTGCCAGGATCCAGTCATTTATGCTGCTTTGAGGTTTGCACGTGTGTCTAGTGGTTTAAAACACACTCAGATTAAAGTAATAAGTTGTCTGTATTGTATTGTTGTGAGATGATAATGTTATTTTCACAGACAAAATGTTTTATGAAAACGTGACTCATAACAGCTTCTCCTGGCAACAGATTTTATAACAGCCTGTCACTAGCTTACGTCACTACAACAGCATAAATAACTCGCTTAACCCTCTTCAGATGAGTCACATCATTCAGTGTTTACTGACTTTTCGGTTGTTTTAATGATGGAAAGAGCTGTATCTGCAGGAGAAAAACATGCAAGATCTCTACATGATAGTATGCGGTGTAAATCTGCATCGTACATCCATATCTGCATCAGATCTGATCCTCCCATTTGAAACGAATGACTTTAGGTTGAGCAGTAATTTAAAGTTAAACTAACTAAAATCCTCTTTTCTTTGTTCAGTGGCGCAACATTGACAATACCATGTCATAAAAAACGGATGTGTCATGTTTGGAGCAGGTAGAAGGTTCAAGATAAAGTCCCTGATAGGTTTAATGTGTTTGCCCAGAGGCTATGATTAACTTGAAGCAGACTGTCTGAGAGTGGTTCGTTCAGTTTGCACATTTATAGTTGGACTTATCTCACACTGTGATCTTCTAATTACTCATTTGTCGTGATCATCCTGGAAGCAAAGATCTCAAGACTAAAGACTGTTGGAGCGCCTGAACGCTGAGGCCGGGCACTTAAAGTTTGTAGTGGCTGTTAAATGCTGGTATGCGTTATGTGTTGTGCTGTTGATGTTGGAATTTAAGCATGAAATAAAGATGTGGTAGCAGTTGTTGCTCAGAGTTGCAGCTCAATAATCACATTCATCCTTCAACTGAGAGCAGCTCTTAATGACGTTGGAGGAAGAATACGCTTTAGTAGCTGTAACGGCAGGATAAACACTTCTTTAAAGCCTGGTAAAGATGGATGTAAGCGATGTGAATGCAAGACGGTCGAGTTCTTCTATAGCTGCCTCTGCATCATGGGATGTTGTGTGTTCACCCCCCCCATCACTTACATTTAGAAAGGCATCTCTGATCAGTCCCTCAGTTTACACGTGGGAATGTGAGTGTTTTAAGACGGGCTTGTGCGGCTTAAGTGTGACTGTAACGTGTCAGGTGTGGTACAGGCCCCATGTCTGCTGTGGTTTTCCCCCTCATGGTTGCAAGTTATGTGACGGTTCCAGCATTAAAGGGATGTACTGGTCCAGTCCTCTCTCTCTCTCTCTCTCTCTCTCTCTCTCTCTCTCTCTCTCTCTCTCTCTCTCTCTCTGTACCTGTTCTGAAAGCCGATCTGCACGGCTGACACCTGTTCTCGTAGCCTGCGCTCCTCTCTGTGTGGAGCCCATCGGAATCACTTTGGTCTGGGATTGCTGCAGTGTAAATATCTGAGTAAGTGTGAATGAATACAGCTGATAATGTGGATCGGTAATTTGTCTCTCTTCTCACCTTTTTGGTTTTCTGCTGTTATCCACAGTTTTAAGTCTGCTCTGTTAATGTGAACTCAAGTCAGTTTTAAATCCATATCCTATATTCTGATATATAATCTATAATCTGGTGTTTACGGTTTTTTGGTGTCATGATTTAAAATGGGACCTGATGATAGTTTTTGGTGAGAGCTGTTCCAGGAAGCTGAATGGACAATGTACTGTACGAGCCTTCGCGCCTCCACAGCTCAGTCTGTACAATGGGCAACAAAGTAGACAATGTATAAACTGTAGGGCTCGATCCGAGCTGGAAGGGGCCATAAAGTACATGACGGACAAGGAATGCAGCCCCCAGAGAGAGACTCTGAGGAGCTGACCACCCCCCCACCCGCTCCCTCCTTAACACATACACACACACACACACACACACACACATACACACACACCCTTTGGGGAGCGAACAATCCCCTCTTGCAATGCGGTCCCTAATCTCTCGCTACCAGACAGAACTTTGATGTGAAGGCCCCCCACTCCCCCTCCTGTCCTCTGTGTCCCCTTTTCGGGGGCCCCTCAGTCTCTGCCCTCCATCCTTCCTCAGTTCTTAGTTCATTCTCACTTCCCCCCCCCCTCTCTCTGTTCCTGAAACCTGTTTCTGCACAGACACAGTTACAAACATTTTGTGCGAGGATGCAGAACCAAGATGGACACCCCACCACCACCCCCCCCCAAAGTAATAAAATTATAATTTCAAGCATGAACCCCAGATGCATTTAGGACACACACACACACACACACACACACACACACACACACACACACACACACACAGCTAAGGCTCTGAGCTAATGTTACTATTACAAGATGTCACTTACGGGGTTAGTGATATGATTTATTTATTTTCTCCACTTTAATCTTTATTTTATGTTGAAGTTTCCTACTTGTTAAACCCTCACCGTCCTGCACTAGACTGTTAAAACAATATGTGTAATAAATGTGATGCACTTTGGTTCATTAGCTGTCTGTGACAAAGAAGTTGAAAGATGATGACGCCTGGTTTGCATTAAGCTCAAATAAGAAAGAAAAAAACTCACATTTTTTCCTCTGTTTATTAAATTAAAACAAAACACCAAGCAAACACACAGATGTTTCTGCCTCTGCACGCACTACGCTACACAAAACACTATTGTTTTAATAGACAAATAGAACAATATTAATATGTGAACTTATGTGAGGTGTAAGTGACATCTACCACACTGCAGGTTTAAAATGAAGCTGCTGATGAGCCACTGAATGTTTAATCACACACGGCATCAGGAAACACTAATCCAGGTCTGACGCGAAGCCTTCAGCAGAAAGGGACAGTGAGTGGGTACCTGTTTGGTCTGATTGTTGTCTGTAGGTGAAAGGTCAAAGTCATGGGGAGCAGAAGGGGGAGTGGGTGGGGGCGGAAGGGAGAAGGGGGATGGGGGTGAGGGGGGTGTCTACATCCTGTATGGATGATGAACTCCTTCACCTCTCTGTGCAGGGAGAGTCCCTCGCAGATTGATATGCATTGATGTCAGATTGTGTCAGAGGGCACCCAGCCTCTGCACACTTTGACTCACACTGAACAACATGACACCCCACCCCCCACCCCAGTCTGCCACCAGGGTGTGTGTGTGTGTGTGAGTGTATCGCTCATGTTATGGGAGCATAAATCTATTCTCAGTCACATTGTGGTGAATCAGCTTCCTTCTGGGGGCAAAAAGCTGCAGCCTCACAGCATAAAACCGTCTACAAGTGCATTTGTAAGTTTAGTTCCACAAGTGGAGTCGGTCTCTTCGTCTTGGTTGTTGTACGTAGTTTTGCTGCCAGTGTTTTGTCTTTGCAGTGCAGCTAACAGGATGTGTCCTGTCCTCACCACAGCCTGACAAGGAAACACTGCCCCAGGAATCACATTTAGGGAATTTTGAACTCAACTCTGGAAGATACCTGCTTTAACTCGTAGTCAGTTTTCTGCTTCAGTGGTTCAAGTTTGGAACTGTTTTTGTTCTTTTGTGCTCAGAACCAGGACTTTGGATTTTGTCCCCCATTTCTCACAGTGTAGTCACTGCACAGGTGGGAGACTTATAACAAGGAACAAAACTCACATCAAACTAAATATGATATGTGGTAAATGTTCTGAGGAGTGGAGGAAGATAAGGGCAAAGGCTGAGGTTTGGTTAAAGATAGGATGAAGTTAATGCAATGGAAATGTGTGTGTGTGTGTCCTGTGTGTCCTGTGTGCAGGATGCACCTGGTGGTCTCATTTAAGTGGTTCTTTTGTGTGCGGCCCTGGAGTTGTGAAAGCTTCCATACACGCATAAATATCACACCACACAAATATTATGTGTGTACATTTATTTGCTGTGTGTTCTCACTGTGACTAAAGGTGATGGTGTGTTTGTTGACTTTATCTCATCTTGTAACCACTGAGGCAGGAAACCAAGCTTCAGTTTGAGTGAAGATACTTGTAAGATTTTGTAACTCTGTAGGTGTAATGTGTTCATGTTTAGGGCTGTTACTAATGATCATTATACACTACATACACATTTAATGTTGTTGTAAAACGGAGAGAAGCAGCAGCTCCTCACGTCCTGACATTGTTTCCTTGATACGACGACTTCAACCATTAATCAACCATCAAAACTGGTTTTGCCAAATAATTTTCAGTCGATCAACTAATCTATTAATTGATGAATTGTTACTGCACGATTTTGTGCTGTATATCACATAACCAGAAAAATAGAAACCACAAAACTTTGCAATGCAACATTCCTGTATTAAAGTTGTTTTAATTCAAATCTGTTATTTTTTAGGCTGTACTCTGTTGTGTTGTTGCTGTTACACTGTACTCAGGTGTTTCTAATAATAATATTAATAATATTGAGCTTTCTTTATAGAGCACTTTTCATAGAAGAGATGTAACTCTATGCTACAATAAAAAGAATCGAATAGTACAATAAAATATGGGTGAATTAAAGGCCAATGAAACCACCACCACACCAGTAAGAATAGTAAAATATGAGAATTAATTAAAAGCCAAGTTAAATAAATAGGGTTTCAGCTGATGTTTAAAAGTGTTCACTGAGCATTTCTTATGGCTCTTGGCTGAGTATTTTATTCCATACTTTTGAAGCATAGTTTAAAAAGCTGCACTTTCTATTTTCTGGTGCATAAAATTGTGTGTATGTAGAAGATCTGTAGTTATATTAGATATGGATGTCATAGATATGTCAGGAATATCTACAATATGATTAATTATAATGCCACATTACACCGCCTTAAGAACAAGCTAATTACTCTTCCTAGGAGTGTGGCACTGGGTTGAATGAATTGAACATAGAGGAGTTTCTGTTTTACTTGCACACTCGCTGTGTTTCCTTCTGCTGTCAGGAAACTAAAACTGATGGACTGAGGCCTGCACGTTCGTCTTTACAGGCCGGTTTGACAAAGCTGTTGACCGGTCACCTCCCTGAAATTTAAACCCACACACACACACACACACACACACACACACACACACACACACACACACACACACACACTGTTCTATCCACAGTAAAACAGTCATTTGTGCACCACCATGGAGCCACGGGAGAGCTAAAGAAACAATGCAGAAATACAACATTCTTACTTTCATGCTCAAACACATACACATTCACTTAATCTGTTCACTCACTCACACACACACACACACACACACACACACACACACACACACACACACACACACACACACACACACACACACACACACACACACACACACACCCTGACAGGCCTGTGTATCTGTTTACCTCGGGTCTGTATGGACATGTCTCCTTCCCACTCACTTCAACAGGAGAAGCCAGAGTCGACCTCTCCTGTCCCACTCTCTTTCTGCGGCTCCTTTTCTCCGCCGCTCCGTTCCTCTGTCTCTCGGCTTCGATCATTTCCATCAAAAAAAACACTTGTGAAAACAGTTAGTCTGCTTAGTCCTTTTGTTGTTTTTTTTGTTGATCAGAAAAGAACAAAATGTGGCTGTGTGAAGATGTATTGACGCATCATCTCACCTCTTGATCGTACAGCAACAGACACTGTGACATGATCAGATATTTTACATATATTTACATAATTCCTTTGTACTTGTAAGTTTACATCATTTTCACTTTTCTTCCTCTCATTTCTCTTTCTCTCCTTCACGCCCCACTAACCCTCAGACACTGTTCTTTCCCTGCTGGTACCGCGAAGTCGCAGTTGCACACACACATGCTGGGTGTGAGAGGTTTTGTCTTTTCATATAGTGCGACTGTTTTTTTTCTGCCGTTCCTGTTCTGGGACACTAAAACAGTTTGTCCCACAAAGTCTGAATCAAACCTGGTGACTGTGGAGACCTGATCATGTTAAATTAGCTTCTGACTGTTAGCGGAGACGTTTTACAGAGTCTCGCAGCAGCTGAGGATGATGAGGGGTTTGGTCCATGTTGGATAATTATACGCCTCATGATTTACGTCTAGTTGTTGGTTGTTCACGTTGAGGCGGTGCGTCCCTTTGCATTGAGATGGAGATGAAATCCAGGATGTTGAATGAGCATCCTGTCACAAAAACGTTCACCCTTGTTTTGTTTTTTTCACTGTTACCAGCATCCTTTCCTAACTGTAACTATAATAATATGTTTGACATTGTAGAAATTCTGCACCGTATTCGCTCTAAACTTTGGCACAAGTCTCAGTTAACAGGGCTGCTTTGCTTTTCTAGAGTCAAAGTCATGTTCTTCTTTTTCATATATTAATATTTAATCCATAATCTACTACTGCACTTGCTAACAGTGATTGGTTATGTACTAGATAAACGGGTCCCTCACAATATATGTAGATTTATGTCATTTTTCTGGAAGGTTAATTGATAAACTTAAAATATCAGTATCCATCACTCCAGATCTATTTGTCTTTTCTTTATTTTGATCTCCAAGCTCCAAGTGCAGAATCCCCCTTAATATGTTTATAATTTACTTTAAACATTTATTTATATGAAGGATCTCGGATTTTGAAGTTGATAAGAAAAGAGCAACGTGCACAAACGTGGAGATGATGCGGTGATATTTACTGTGCCGATCATCCATGACACCAGTGTGACGTTCACAGGTGCAACAGTGACACAGAAGGAAACTCAGTCGTGTTTATTTCCTGCCTGTTTCCTTGTTTGTGTCTCGTCCAGGTTTGAAAAGGAGTCAGGACAAACAGTGGACCAGTCGACTGCGACAGCGATGCCTTCCAACAAGTACTCTGCTGTTATCATGGAGGAGAGCAACAACATGACTGCTACTGTGAGTCTCACACACACACACACACAGATTTCATAACCGACAGAATAAATAAAATAATAAGAATAGATTAAATGAAAGTAAGTGATTTTAAAGCCAAAATTTTGAAATAATTAACACACACAAAGCCACTCCCTGAACTCTGAGCCTGCTGTGGTTTAAAGGAGTGTGTGTATTGATGCCAAGGCAGATGCCCGGACAAGAGTGCCAGCATGTTATATGAGTCTAATTGAGAATGTATTGAGACACACACACACACACACACACACACACACACACACACACACACACACACACACACACAAACACACACCCACACACACACACACCCACACACACACACACACACACACACACACACACACACACACACACACACACACACACACACACACATACACATCACAGCTGCATCTACACAGAAAGGAAATAAGGGATAGATGGAAGGATGGAGGCAGCAAATTCACACACACTTTTACTCACTGATTCTCATGTACCCACGCACACACACACTTTCACTCTTTCATAACTTGCAGGCACATGCACACACACACGCACACACACTTGTCGTCCGTTACTACTCCTTCCTCTTTCAGTCTCATATATCACTCCGTCTGAGAGGGACGCTTCCTTCCCTCCACCATCTGCTTTTCTTTCTTTTCTCCTCTTTCTCCTTCCCTTAAACCCCCCCCACACCTCCCTCTCCCTCATTTGTCTTCATCTTCTCTTAATCGTCACCACTTTGTCCTCTGTTTATTGTTTGCCTGTCTCCATGGTAACCGGCCTAGCTGCCATCTTATCAGGCGTGATATGACAACCACAGTCCGGAGGTATTCGCTTCAAGTTTAGGCAGCTTGGCGGCAGGCGGGTCGTTACTTATCGCTGTTCACATCATGCGTTGAAGTTTGCACTTAAAGTGACACGATCCAGCGGGTGATTTTCATCCGGAGCACTTCCTGTTTCGGGAGTGAAGATAGTTTCCATCAGTAAAGAACACTTTAATAGATTCCTCTTTGTCTGCCATCGTCTTCGTTGTTTTTTTCAAAAGTTTGACCCGTAGTTTGAGTGAACAGTGAGCAGTGAGGGTGCCAACATGAAGGAAACATGGAGGATGTATGTGGATCACCACAGACAGCCGAGGTTCAAACTTCAGTCTTGACCTTGCAGACGAGTCGAGAAAAACTCACCACCCGGTCCTTTTTTAGTAACTCTTCCCGAGCTTTCACAACCTCAGAGCTCAAACCACAGTGGACAAACTGAGATCATGTGACATAACTGAAAGCTCCGGAAGAGCTACTAAGTGGAGCTTGTGTAAGATGATTTTGGATGGATGGAGTAGGTTTTGTCCCACCTCCATAGTAAAATCAGCAGAAGACGCTCGTGACCAACTTAGCACTAGGATTCAAAATGAAACCGGCTGCCAAACATTATAGTTAATTACATGTTATTCCACTATGATGCAGAACTTTAATCTGAGGTGATCATGTGAGTCACATTCTTAGTTTGAGCAGCAGCAGCATGATGACGGCAGAAATGATGTGTCAGCAGAGTGTGTGGGTAAATGGGAAAAAAAAAAAAAATGTTTGGTTTGGGTGGGAATGAAACGTGATGATTCAGCTACAGGTTGTTATGAACTTCACAATCCAAGAGTCTGTGAAGAAATACACATACCTCCGTGATGTGTGTCCAGTTGTGGTCCGGTCCTGACTGGTCCCAGCCCTCTGTGGCTGGGGTCACATCTGAGATCAGGTCCTGGTCAGCCACGGCACAGATTAAAGGTTCCCTCTGGAGTTTTCTTGTAAATAAATAATGTTTATATTTACATTCAGTGTTACTGTAACAAAGTTATGAATGCATTTCCTTCCTCCTGAAACATTTGCACCGTCAGATTTTCTTACAAGGTCGATTCCTCTTTTTTTTTTTTTATGAATTTTGTGGTTTATAGTTTGCTCTTGTTATTCATTAGTGTTTGTGATATCAGTTATTAATGTCATTTATTTTTGTGCGATCAGTGATTATGGAGAGTTCGGTCACATGGATATGGGTGTTGCCATGGATATTAGTAGTTGATATAAGCACCTGGTGGTGGAGAGGGCGTGAGTGGATCGCTGTAGTTATACGGATCTTTTGATCGCTGTAGTTATTTTGATTATAATTTTGTGCTCGTTATCATAAATCAATCTTCTTTGTTAACAACTTTTTTTTTCTTTCACATATTTTGGACTGGCAGCGAATCTTGCAGTAGAGTGTCAGACAAAGCAAACCAGGCCCAACCTCCGCCTCTCAGCAGCTTTTAGTTAGTTTCCTGAAGCCGCTACAACCAGCTTGCGGTCTTCTTCCCCGTCTTTGTTGGTGCATCTCGGCACATTATCGCCTCCTGGAGATCAGTGACCTTGTTTGAAACTGTGGTCGGGAATTTGTATCGTTGTCATGTTGCTGCTCTATAGTTCTTCTCCACAGGTTGGCTGTAAGGCAAGAAGACACACGAACTGAAAGTGAAACAATCTGGTGTTGATGCAAATCAGAGGGTATGACCGCATTGGTTAAAGAAAAAAGTAGAAGACAAGTCACCTTTGTGCTTTATTTAAATTGTGTAACACTAAGAAAATCTGAGGCATACACTTGGTCACAAAACATTAATGTTACACACAAGGCTTCTTTCCACTATACTTAATAATAAACTAAACTCATTTTTGTTGAGACTTGCAGCATCGCAGGCAAAACTGCTCTGACAAACTCACCCCAGGCACAAATATTGAAACATATATCAGGAGTTTTTTTTTATTTTTTTATTGCACAATTCTTTGTGAACAAAAGATAACACCCTCGAAGCCTCGGAGCCCCTCAGGTGACGATTTACTGCACGCCGAGTTTTCAGACGTTCGCCTCAGACCTGCACTTCTAATCATTTAGGCCTCGCTAAGATGTTTTGACAGCGCAGTCAGAGCGCCCCGGGGCTGACTGTTGCGCACTGTGGAATGTGTGTGTGTGTGTGTGTGTGTGTGTGTGTGTGTGTGTGTGTGTGTGAGAGAGAGAGTGTGAGAGACGTAGGTTGGTGAGATCTGCAAAGCGCAAGGCTCTACACGCACACACACACACAGAATTATATAGAGTGCAGGATGCATGAGTCCGAAAGACACTTGTCACATTTTTATTCCTTAATTTTTTGAAGGACTCTTTTTGGTAGCAACAGTCGCCATAGCAACAATACGAGCGGAGGGAGTGGTAGCAGAATTAATAGTCGTGGTAGTGGTTGTAATGTTTGTACTATAAAAGAGAGCAAAGGGAGGCAGAGGAGTGGAAAAGGATCATTTGTGCTACTTTAATGCTTCATTGGGCGAGTTCATGTCTGCCAGCCTCAAACAGGAGGAGGAGGAGGAGGAGGAGGAGGAGGAGAGGGAGGGACGGACGGACAGACGGACAGACGGACGGACGGACGGACGGACGTCTGAGGGCAGATATTGATGATAATAGTCTACACATCTACCTGGCTGACATCAAATCCCATTTTCGGTTGCCGTCCGAAACCAGAGGAGCTGGAAAGAGCAGTTTAGCATTTCACAAACACTGTAGAGAAGAATTTCGCAGAGTTACAGGCAGGAGCTTTGTCATGTTTTGGTGCTTTTTATTATAATTTGCACTCCCCACAAAAACCCCTTTTTCTGCTCCTTTTCTCTGTGAACTCGGAGCAGCTTTCCCTCCTCATCTTTCTACAAAAGCAGACCTGCTCTGGTTTTGTGGAGAGAGAGGGAGAGAGAGGGAGAGAGAGGGAGAGAGAGGGAGAGAGACTTAAACACAAATGAGCTGAAAAGAGAAAATAATAGATGAAGGGGAGAGAAGAAAGTTAGGATGAGGTGAATGAGGGCAACCAGGTTTTGTTTCTGTTCAACAGTGCAAAAGGAATTTGAAGTTGATTTTTTTTTACTGCTGTAAAAAAATAATAATAAAATAAAATGTTGCATCAGATGAAGTGGAGCAAATGAAATATGCTCAATCCAAAACATTAGCAACTTTTCTACAGTCCTACACAATTCCATAAATATTTTAGCTTTTGCAGAAAGTGAAACAAATTTATCCTGATGACATGACAAACAGCTGAGTGTGAGTCAAGTGTTTGAAATGAAAATCATCTGCTGTGTGTTTGTCTTCCTGTTGCTCACTCACCGTGTAGCTGTGTCACAAACCAAAGGAGGACGGTAACAGGAGAGTTCTTAGAAGTAGAGGGAGGAGGATGAGTTAAAGCTGAAGTTAGGTAGGTGTGTGTGTGTGTGTGTGTGTGTGTGTGTGTGTGTGTGTGTGTGTGTGTGTGTGTGTGTGTGTGTGTCCTTTAGCTTCAGAAAACACACACACTTGCAGACAGCTGTTGTAATGATCAGCTCCCAGGTGTGAATGTGTGTGTCTGTCACCACTCCCCTCATGCTGCTGCTGCACATACGAGTTGAGTAGCAGTCGAGTTACTGAACTAGGATCAGCAGTTTGTGTTTGAGTAGAGCGGGATGACCCAGTGTCCCACACTGATATGTGATTGCTTATAGTTTAACTCTCGAGGCAAAATGTGGTGAGAAGCGAGAATATATTAGCAAACAGAACCAAAAGGTTGAAGTAGAACTTGATTCCCTTAAGCAATTATTTATGACATAATTATCATTTTTTATTTATGTTTTGTTGACATGGGAGAGAAGGTGTTGGAGCAGAGTGGACACGCTACAGTAGCTATGCATAATTTAATTTTCTACAGGTTTCCTTGGACATTATCTGCTCCTAGTTTGAGTGATTGCATGTGGTCGCTGCAGCGCAGACATCAGCAGAGTCGGTGTCAGACCTCTGTGGTTTTACTGGGCAGCTGCCAGGTGTAAATAAATGAATGTGAAACACGAAACTGCTAAAATGAGCCTCAGGGTCAGTCTGTCTCCCATTATGTCATATTTTATGTCATGATGTGTTAGTTAGTGACGGAGGAGCGCGCTGCGGCGGCCAAGGCCTCTGAAGTTACAGCTGTGCAGCAGGGGTGCAGATTGCTCCCAGCTGTGAGTCTTCATCACAGAGGACACACGAGGGAGGAGGGGTGATTTCACTTTTCAGTTAAGAGCAGAATCGGTGGTCGTTCATCAAGTTTAAGGTTCATCTTGAGGCTCATGTGCAGCTTTTATAGACTGAACATCTGTAATTAAAGCAGCAAATTAAATGGATAATGAATGGGCGGAGAGCAACACACGAGAGCGGCAACAATTAGCTGTTTAGTTAATTGTAAGAATATTTTTCAGCAGCTATTTTCTCTCAATCTCAAGCATAAGCACCAAACATCTGCTGGTTTCAGCTTCTCAGATGGGAGAAAATGCTGCTTTTTCTCGGTCTCATATTATAGTATATTGAATATTTTGGGGTTTTTGATTGTTGGTCACTTGGTGTTATAGTCATCATTCACTGTTTTCTGATGTTTTATGGACCAAACCATTAATTAACCAGCAGATTAATTGAGAATACAGCCCCAGACTGTTGAGATTCCTCAGATAAATAAAACAAAATGTGCTGAATCCCGTCTGAAACCTCCATGTTCCCCTGTCGCTCCGTCCATCTGTCCAGACAGATCACTAGTTTGCACAGTAGTGGTAACGCAGTATAAACATCTGTGCTGGTTCTTACAGCAGCTGCTCCTGTGCTCCAGAGCTGCCTCTCTGTCTCTGTCATCACTCTCTCTCTCTGTTAACCAAACATTCTTCACTCCTCACCTCTGTTCACCTCCACAGCTCCCTCACCCTGAGCCTGTTCACACCGAATCTCTCTCCACCCCCTCTCATCTCTTCCTGAACTATGACAGGAAGGCACTCGGCTCTCAGGTGTAACGCACGTGGGTGACTTCAGCTCAGATACAGCGGCTAACATCGGCTTACCTCAGCCTCTCTCTCTTCCCTTCCTCACCCCTGGCAGCAGCAGCAGCAGCAGCAGCAGCAGCAGCTCTCACTCTTTAACCATCTTGAACACACGCTCTATGCACAAGTTCACTGAGTTCATTTGTTATAGGGGAAATTTGGCATTGAAAAACACTCACACGCACACCACATGCGTTCCCTGTTTTATGACGTTGAACAATCACAAACAGCCTCAGATATGCGTAGCTGAGATCTGCGTTAAAAGTCAGCACAGTCTCACAATTTTCCATCTGCCTCACAGTTACTGCCTCAGAGCTGCTGCTCTCTCTCTCCTCTGACTCAAACTCAACGCATTAAAAGTCCATATTTACACTTTTCCTGTGTTTTATTTGAGGTATTGATCCATAACAAGATATATTTGTGGCCAAAAACCATCTCAATGTAGTTTTACTTCCCCTCTCTCAGGCCTCTCTCTGGAGCTCTTGTAACAGCAGGTCGGTGAGCCAATCAGAAGAGAGGAGGCTCTGAGCATCTCTTCTGATTGGCTGACTGTTTTTGGAGAGATCTCTTGCTGAGAGCGATGACTGCTTTGTTGTGACATCACAAGTTACAGGAAGTCCTGACGGCTCATTTTAAGGCTCAGTTTCTGAACACAGGCTGTGTGCATTTCTCTGTGGACTGAGCGATTTGATACTTTCACAGTATTAATACAGAACATAGACCTGCTTTATAACCAAAGTACACATGAACATCTACTTTTATACAACATGGGACCCACATTTCAACCTGTCACAGTTTTCATCCGTCTTAAAGATGCAAAACAAATGTGATGTTCACTCTCAATCACTAAAACTCACTGTGTTCATCCTTGAGCGCCAACATTTGTGCATTGCATGCATGTTGCCTTTGCTGGTTTTCTCTGTATTGTCCACATAGGCACCTACATACACACACCATATATGTAAGCATGCGTACATCATAAGCACATGCACGCACACATAAATCTCCCTAGGTGTTACCTAAACACATTAGTATCTATGTGTCCTTTGTGTTGAGTCATCTTCTAATCCGAGCGTGCAGAGAGGGGGGGATTAGGTGGAATCACTACTGTAAGTGGGATGTTTCAGGTTCAAGTCCAGACAGAGCTGAGCTGAGCGGCCGGCTCTCGCGGTGGAGGAGAGATGAGGCAATGCAGAGAGGTTTCCTGCCCGCTCTCTGATCCCTCTGGCAAACAGCCCGCTTCATTCTACACACATGACTCACTGGCAGCTAAAGCCTCACAGATTCATCATCCGCTGTGTTGTTCTTGTGCGGTTTGTGTAGCGTTTACTTCAGGTGCCGTCGGACGTGCGCGCGCCCCCGCTGGTCTCGGACATGTGAATTTGTTTAAATGTGCTGGCTCTGTTGTTACTGTTTGGTTTTATAATCTTTGCACCTTTTTCTGCGTCTTGACGTGTGCAGGGCAAGAATACGTTTCATAATTAAAAATATGGCCTGGAGGGAAGGGAGGCTCCGGCTCCGTGCAGCAGCAGATATTGATGCTTTAGCTTTGAGCTCATTTGTCTTGTTTGATCAACACATTTGGTCAACACATCTTAGTTTTTCCGATGTTAGTCATGCTTCCTTTTGTTTCCTGCTTGCAAGACGTAGCTTGAACTTAATGCTTGGTTAAAATATCGATCATCTCGTTTCATAAAAGTTACACAAACACGTGCATGTCAAAAGTTTCCGGCAAAGTAAGAATCCACTGTGCTTTGGGGATTAAAAAGATTTAGGATGTTTAGCACCACGTTGGCTTCACACTCAGTTCAGCGTTGTGCATGTTGCTGACGATGACTGAATTACAGGAATATGTGACGGTTAAACAGCAGTGACATTGTGGACTAATACGTCATGGACACACAGACGGTCTTTATCCGAGGCTTTGGGAATGTTGAGCGTTGATGTCAGCTCTCTGCCTTCAGCCAACACATCAAACGCAACGTCACCATCCTCAGCTCTGGGTGGGCTGGCAGATGAAAGCTCGTGTGGAGGTGCAGGTGTGTCATCTTTGGCAACACTTCCTGTTTGACTCCAAGCCTTGGTCTGAATCTGACTGATGTATTGATAATCCTTTTGTTCTTCGCTAGCTTCTGCGAAGTTGTTGCTACATGTCCGGGGTTCATATAAAATAAATTCCCATTTCAAATTCGTCTCAAATTGGAAACACAGCAGAGGCTCCGCCGTGATGATACAATTTGAATTTCTATGGATTAGAAACGGGTCGTTAATCCAGAATCTGGACGTGAAAACATTGAAGTTGCAGTTTGTAAAATCAGTTTAACAACAACAATTTTAAGTTTTTGAGTTTGAATCTTTATTAATGAAATACTTTCTGAAGTTTCGAAATGTCCAAACTGTCAGTCAGCTAAGATTGTCTTGGAGCAAATCAACAGGGCTTTTATCTTTGGAACCAGATGCATCTGATAGAAACTTCCTCTTCTATTAAACAGCAATTTAAAAAAGAAAATTGCAAAGCATGATTGAAACGGATCAATTAAAATGAATTAAAAATTTGTGAAATTATTTTGTCTATAGAATCAATATCTGCTCTTACTATTAATTTCCAGTCTTTGGTTTCCGTCCTCTCTGCTCCTCACATCACTTCATCAGTCTGATCACCTGAGCTCCTTCAGCACTCAGGACTCTGATCGATCACCTGGTCACACCCGGTTCACGTGTCTAAATCACCTTCCCCCGACGCTCCTCTCCCTCTGTCCTCAGGCGGCGGTCAACGGGGACACATCTCCGGCTGAGGGCCTATCGGAGAACGACAGCGGCGTGGAACTGACCAATGAGAACAGCCCTTTGACTGCGGCCGAACCGCCCTCCCCCTTTAGCCCCAAACAGAACGGAGATGCTGCCTCACCTCAAGGTAACACACACACACATACACACACACACACACACACACACACACACACACACACACACATACACACACACACATACACACATTGACACAGCGGTGAAGTGTCCTCTTGACTTTATTTTTTTCTGTAGTTATTACTGTTATTATTTTCTAATACTCTAGTGCCAAGGAGTTCTTTTCCCAAAGTTTTAGGAAACCAATATGAGACATGTTAACTTTTAATAAAGTCTTCATATTTAATATTTTGTGTCAGATCCTTTCATGAACATCAACAGACACTTCACCTTCGTCCTAGTTTCAGTCTGGTCTTTCCACCGTTCCATCCCTGGTTGGAACATTGACCTGCCGCATGAAAATATTGAGTTTCTTTTCTGCCATCTGTCTCACCGTCTGTCCATGTCTCTCTCTCCCTCTCTCTCTCCCTCTCTCCCTCTCTCTCCCTCTCTCTCTCCCTCTCTCTCCCCCTCTCTCTGTCTCTCTCTCTCTCTCTCTCTCCCTCTCTCTGTCTCCCTCCCTCTCTCTCTCTCTCTCCCTCTCTCTCTCTCTCTCTCTCCCTCTCTCCTCTCTCTATAGATGATAATCAGTGTTCAAGCGAAAGCAGGAAAAGGAGCAGGAAGAGGTCAGAGGAGGAGGAGAGTACCTGGGACTCCTACAGCGAGGTACGACTGCACACACGCACCTGTTCCTGTCGTCAATAAATCGTCTTTGTGGGGAGTGTACATGTTATATTTAATCCATTTGTGTGTGTGTGTGTGTGTGTGTGTGTGTGTGTGTGTGTGTGTGTGTGTGTGCAGGAAAAGGCCTCAGGACCGTCGGAGCTGGGTTTGAGACAGAGACCTCGACCAAGGACCATCTTCCAGGCCGGTCTGTCGCCGCACACCAACACCAAACCTCGCAGACAGAACCGCAAACAGGAGCACAGCATGTTACTGGTAAATAAAATAAACATTCACACACACACACACACACACCAGTGTTTTTTTGTCCCATGCAGAAGTGTTGATTCTTCACAAATGTGTAATGAACTTTGATTGTGATGATTTGGTGAAAACCTGCAACACTCGATCACGTCCTTCCCTCTCACGGCAGTTCATCTAGAAACGGTGTTTGTTTTTAAAATCTAGCTTCTGTGTTTCTTTCTCTCTTTTGCTTTTACTCGAACTGTTTGTTGAGTCTAATAAAGTTTCTCTCCTGCTCTCCGTCAGTGCGCCAGCGGTCCTCGGACAGTCGTGGTCGTGTCCGGCGAGGTTCCAGAGGCCCCCCGTCTGGAGCTGATGGAACAAGACTCCAAAGACTCGGCCCAGAGCAGCAGCACCTTATCCAGCACCGAAACTCAGCCAGAGTACAATGTAAGATGTGTGTGTGTGTGTGTGTGTGTGTGTGTGTGTGTGTGGGAGACACAGATGCATGAAGGAAGAGACCTGGACGAAACCAGACTTTCATTACTGATGTAAAGATATCTCAGCATCTACAGAAGGTCTCGTTTGAAAGGTTCTTCTCTTAAATTTTACACCCAAAAAGTCAAAATGAGAAGAAGAGAAACTGAAGCAAAGTTACAGTAGTTTTTATAGCTTTTGGGGGTTTTTAAAAAAAAAAATTTGCCTTGCCTTTTTTGGCATACTAAAGGGAAACTAAGGTCTGGAGCTGCACCTTTTTCTGAGGGAAACGCCACAAGTCTGAACCGATTCTGTATCAGCAGCTGTTGCAGTGATATGGATCCTAAAATGTTTCATGTTTCATAATTTGTCAATGTGTGAAGAGATCAAAACACACCAGGGTTAATCTGCAAGGTTGATTAAATACTGTAAAAGTGTAGAAGTGAGCTGCAGAGGTCAGAGAGTATCTGTGATGAGGAGAAGGAAAAGCGTGAAGGAGGAGGAGAGGGAGAGGAAAGGAAAAGCTGCAGGAGAGAGAATATTTAAAAAGGGGAAGTGGGAAGTGGGAGGTTTGGCAGCAACAGAAAGAGGAGGGTAACTCCCCTCGCAGACCACAGAACCTCCTCCACCTGGCCTTGTGTTAGTGCAGGTGGCCACACACACACACACACACACACACACACACACACAGAGTCTGGCCGTGTTTGCTTAGTATCAATAGTTTCATTCAGGTCATGACGACCACCAGTCTGCACAGCAGGGCCTCTGTGTGTGTGTGTGTGTGTCTGTGTGTGTGTGTGTCTGTGTGTGTGTTTGGAGACACACTCAGGTCATCATGCATGTCGTCCTGTGCATGTCTCTACACTGTGTGTCTGTGTTTTCCGCTGCGTGCACGCCGCCTCCCTTCATGTGTGCTTCTTGTGCATGTCGATGCGTCTCGTGCGTCTGTGTGTGTGTGTTCACTGGGTCCTGCCTGGACTCAGTGGAGCGTGGCATCCTTTAGTGGAGTCAGACTCCATTACAAAGCCTAATGGGTTTTCTCTTCTTAAGACGGACTGAGGAATCACATGGCCCCGGGCTCTGCCGGGATTTGTTTGCATGCATAGAACTCCCACCTGCTCGTAAACCAGCTCACGTAACTTTCAAAAGAGAGAAAGGGAGAAAGAAAAATGGGTCAATTATGGCATTATCAGGGATGTTGGAAGTTTTCTGCTCACAAAGAGGCCAAAGTGCAAAACAAACAGCAGAAACAAAGAAAACACCTGAGCAAACAAGGAAATCAGAGTGCACAGATATTTGCAGGCAGGTGTAGAGTGATGCCAAGGTGGACAAATACTCTCAAGTTAATGTTTGTCATGCTTTTAAGATTCAGACATTTAATCGTAATTAAAATCAGATAATTTATTGATCCATTAAGGGAAACTCTTTCCTCCGCATTGACTGTTGAGGAGGTAAACAGTGAGTTGATGTTCTCAGTCAGTGATAGGCTTGGTCGATATCGCAATACATGATGTTATCCTATATAATTATTATTTGTATTTAATGTTTAAGTTGTTTTAAATATATAAGGCACAATATACAGTAAGCAAAGCAGTGAAATGAGGGTCGTACTCTGCAGGAAAAAAATTTGATATTATGAAAAATATTGCATATCGGGGGAATATTGTGATATTATTGTATATCAACCCAAACCTATTGAGTCATCCTCTTTTTCTGAGAAAACATGTTTTTTTTTTTGTTTTTTTGTTTTTTTACAGTTTATATTAGTTTTTTTCTCTCTGTTCATTCACCCTTCAACCTTTGCATTTATCTGCTCAGTGGGTTTTAACACCAATGTTGAGGATTTCTTCCTTTCCCCCTTTTCCTTTCCTGATCCGCAGTTTTAGTCGTGGTTACAGGAGAAAGTTGACAAGTTTCTTTTTATCAGGAGTTTTTTCCCCTCCTTCTTTTCCTTCTTTCTTTGTTCAAGACAAGAAAAGTTTTTGGCATCAGCAAACTAATATGTCCAGAGTATTGTTTTCAGCTCGCTCTTCTAATCTTTCCTTCATTTTCTGTGTCTTTACTAGAACTGAAATAGGGGGTTTTTCAGCTTTTGCACAATACAGATATCATTACAGATTTCTGTCATCATGTCAAACCATTTGTCTTCCTTGTTCTTCCTCCTCCTTGTCAGCAAGACAAGATATTTCTGCCAAAGTGTACTGTTTTCTCTCCTCTGCTCTCTGCACCTGCAGCGTTAGGAAGAGTTTTCCAAAAAATCTCAAATCACTATGATTCCACGTTTCTGTCTTTCTTTACTTCAGGAATAATAAGAGTCTTTTTGCTTTGGTAAAGTAGTGATGGACAAGATGTGACCTTATCCTCTCTCTCTCTCTCTCTTCCTCCCACATCCAGGACAACAAAGGTTTTGGCATCGGCGAGCTGGTGTGGGGAAAGATCAAGGGATTTTCCTGGTGGCCCGGCATCGTGGTGACATGGCGCGCCACCGGAAAACGGCAGGCCAGCCACGGCATGAGGTGGCTGCAGTGGTTTGGAGACGGCAAATTCTCTGAGGTGAGGAGGGAAAGAAAAACAGACAGACTGAGGCAGGGAGGGAAGGGAAGTGAATCATGGTTATACATGTGGTCCTTCTGTCTGATGCCATGTTTTTTGTCCCCAGGTTTCAGCAGACAAACTGGACTCCATTACTGCCTTCCCCAAGTTCTTCAGCCAGGCTTCGTACACCAAGCTGGCCTCCTACCGCAGGGCGATCTTCCAGGCGCTGGAGGTAAGAGTCGGGGTGTTTTAGTTGCTGCTTCTTCATCTGTTTATTAAAGCTCACAGGAACTTGTCCAGCTGGTCACCAGAAGGTTTTCAAGACCCTTAACAACAGCAGAAATTTATCAACTTATAAGTGTAGCTTGTTAAAAATTTCCGAGGTGTGTGCGTGCGTGCGTGCGTGCGTGCA